TAGCCAGGAGGCTGGCAGGACGTGGGTCCCGTCTGAGATGTGCAGGCAGAGTATTTCGGGGCTGCCTGGGGAAACGATTTCTTTTCTCTCTCTCTCTCTTTTTGAAGTGTGAGACCTGTTGTGCTGCTGCAATTTTCCTGTTTCTTACGGCTCAGAAACCTCTGCTTCTAGCATTGGGAAAGGATGCGCGAGTGTAAGCGACTGCGTGTTTGGAAATGCTTAATGAAAAACAGGTAAATTTTTTTTCGGATGCTAAACGAGCTTGAGGAACAGGCAGGACGCGCTGTCTCGGAGTGATGGAACGGGTCTGGCCACAGCCGTTGGGGCATCGGAGCGGCTCCCGTGATGCTGGCAGGCCGGCGGCACCGCGTTCCTGGAAGGTCTCGCCAAAAGCTGGCTAAAGACCACAGATCCGTGGAGTTTCTTCTTCCACATACGTTTTCGCTGCTGAAACGGTTTGGCTACTGATTCTTCTAGCTTGGTATTTTTCTTTGCTCAAAATGGAAATTGTGGCTCTTTGATCAAGAGCTTAAAACCCGGTATTTGTTACTTCAGATGCTCCTTGTGTCAGCAGTGAGAGGAGCTGCTGGAGGGCCAGGCGGGAAGTCCGCTGGACAGACCGGCGCTCCGAGAGGCCTGCTCTTCCTTCCTCCTCCTTTGGCAGCATGTCTCTCGTCTCTTCTCTCTGGAGACGTGTGGTAGCTCCTCAAATCACAGGATCTCGGCGTTTTCTGCCTTTCCCTCCAGCACCCCCAGCTCTGTTCCTCCCGTTCACCCTGCCGCTTCTAGCCTGGGTTCTGAGCACCCTCCTCTCTTCCACCCGCTGCGTGGTGGACGCGTGGAGGGGATGAGCCACGCAGGAGATTCTCACGTGTCCTCTCTGCGGGGGGTTTTGTCCTGCTAGGGCAGAGGGACGGGCTTGACAGTGGAACACCGCTCCCTTCTCAAAGTCCACGTTACGCGCAGGGTGGTTTGATGTCTTCTTCCTCCTGCCCTTTCTTTTTGAATTTCAAGGGAAATTTTGTCTTGAAATCTCTCGGCTGCTGCGTTGCACTGCTGCCCGGGTGAGCTGCGTGACGGCGTAAAGGTGAGGTGAGCGGGAGGATGGGGGAAGGAGCTGCCTGTTCGCATCGCTGATTCCAGCCAGGAGAGAGCGGTTAGCTCTGATAAGGCAAAGTGCAAATCCCATCTAATCATACAGATTTTTTTTGTTTTCAGCTCCTCTTAGGTTTAGTATCTCTTGGAAAGATTTAATTTCAGGCTTCGCTGTGAGCTGTTTGTGGTGTCTGCTTCCAGCGAGAACAGCAGAGAAGCAGGAGGTCTCACTGATTAGATTCAATATCTGGGTCACTTACCATTACCTGTGTTTATTCTCTGGTCTGTTTTGATATTGGAAGAGGATGAGATAAAAGGAACATGTGCAGAGAGAGATAAGTACGGCTGGAGCTGCCCCGGGCAGAGGCCGCCTTCTAAATGGGTTTGCAGACGAGCTTTTCCTATCAGTTTCGGGTCCTGCGTGAGGAGATACCCGGTGTGTGCAAACAAGCTGGCTTCTTTTCCTCCCCTGCACTGGATTAGTGGAGATCCTTGATATCCAGAAGCCAAACTGGACAGAGTCCTCCCTCCCGTGCATCTTTCTCAAAGAAGAGTCTTAAGCTTTGTGAGCTGTGTCGCTTGCTTCAGGAAGTTAAAATCATTTCTTTAAGCTTTGTAAAGCCGATAAACATCACTGTCAACTCCTGGTTTTCTGTAGCTGCAGATTTTCTTCACTAAGTCACTAAGTTTGCATATCAGATTGACTACTCTTTCCTATACTACATTTTCAAAGCTGGGGGCAAGGGGAAGCATTCTTCCAGAACTTAGCGCTGGCATTTCTACAAAAGCTGAGACTCTGGTGGGCTGGAGACCACCAAAGGGAAAAGCGAGCAGTGGTGCGCGTCTTCAGGTGGCCGGTAACTCTGGCTCGGGCTGTGTGAGTTCTCCAGTGCCCCAGTTTCTCGGTCTGTGGTGAGAAGGCTGGAGTCTCCCAGGATGCTGCAGCTCAGTCAGCATCTCTAGAGTGCCACGGGCTCCGCAGCGGTGTTCAAGGCGCGAGGTCAGTTGTGTTAGCAGAGATCTTGGTTACTGCAGGTGTCGGGCAGCAAGCAAGGAGCTGCCAGAGCCTCCCCTCCCGCGATGTGGAGCGAAACAGCAGCTTCTGATCTGAAAGCGGCGGCTTTGCAGGACAGCCTGATCCCCAGCAGCCTGCTGAGGAGCAAGTTTTGCATTTTAGCAGCTGCAGAAATCAGAAACTTCTGGTTTGAAACCTTCCTGCAGCGCTGAAGCTGTCGGTGACTTGTGCACAGGCTGTGGCCAAGAACCTTGCAAAACCTGACGGCTGAAACGTGCGCGTCTTGGTCCCAAACCACCTTCTCTTCATGGAAATGTTCCCACTTTTTTTTTCCCTAGACCTGGCTGTATGTGTCTTATTTTTTTCCTACTTAGCAAGTTGTTGTCTGGGGGGAACATGGCACCTCTGTTGATTTGATTGTTATTACCATCTTTTGAGATCTCTGCACCGAGTCAGCTGTGAAGTGGAGAAGCGGGTTGGACAGCCGAAGCGCCGGTGCCTGTCTCTTCAGATAAGAAAATGAAGGAAAATCAGAAGTCTAGGATAAGAAATGCTTTCCGAGTCTGTTCCTTATCCAGTGATAGCAGGTTTCTACGCGCTTCAGGCCAAAGTGCTGTTAAAATCCTGTTGGGTTTAGACCTGACCTCCAGAGTTTAATAAACATGACGGCGCATTTAGACTGTGGCTTCATGTCTTAAAACTCGTAAGGTTTAGGCCTGTGCTCTTTGTATGGAAGAGTCGTTCCACATCTCCCTCTGAGAAATCACCTGCTAATCTCTAGCCCAAGGTTAACCACCCGTGGTTTCTCTTCCGTGCCAGCTGTGTCCTTCAGAGGAAATCGAGATTTTCTTCCTCCTCATTGTTTTGCATTACTTTTTCTAGAACTGACCGAATTCCCT